TGTGTGTGTGTGTGTGTGTGTGTGTGTGTGTGTGTGTGTGTGTGTGTTTTGGGACAGGTTTCCTCTGTGTAGTTTGACCAGGCTGGCCTTGGAATTCATAGAGATCCTCCTGTCTCTGTTTCTCTGAGTGCTAGTTTTACTGGTGTGTGCCACCATGCACAGCTGTGATGTGTCTTTAAAGTCCAAGTTAAGCTTCAGTTTTCTTCTACCTCCCAAGGGTTCAGGCATATGACAGTGTGTCCCGTGTGTTCAGTGCTGTGGGTCAGACCCAGGACTTCATGCATGCTAGGCAAGCTCTGCCACCTGACATACATCTCCAGCCCAAGTTTCAGTTCCTAAACTGCCGTAGTCCATAGCAGTTTTGAACTGTGTTCTGTTTATAGGAAACATAGCTGTTACCAATGTGAGGTGCATGCGTTGACATGGAATTTAAGGTTTATTTTATATTTATTGTATATGTTTGTGTAGCTGTGTGCGTGCACGTGTGTGTACATGCTAGCAGAGGCCAGAGCAGGAGTTAGAGACAGTTGTAAGCTGCCTGACATGGGCTGTTGGCAGCCAAATTCTAGTCCTCTGAAAGAGCTGCAGGTGCTCCTAACCACGGAGTATCTGCAATCCCCAGGATGTCAGATTTTTGTTTTAACAAAATATTCCCTGGTCCTTTCATAGCAGCTGTCTATGGTGGAAGACTGCTATGAGAGTTCATTCTGAACCTGGTGGCAGTATTACTTGTTGCTCTTCTAACACAGGAGGTGTAGCTTTCGAGTCATCTACAAATAGGTGTTCCAGCAGGGGCCGTCTTCTGAAGTGCTGTCAGTGTTTTTGGCTAATACAAATGTCTGTGTTTAATCAGAGGCTTCACTGATCCTAAGTTCTAAAAAGGTTGTTTTAATTCTTATGAAAGGCCATGTTGTTATCTAGATCAACACCCTTCAGGGGAAGCTTAACATCCTGCAGCCACTGATCCTTGAGACCCTAGATGCATTAGTGGACCCCAAGCATTCTTCTGTGGACAGGAGCAAACTGCATGTCCTACTCCAAAACGGCAAGAGGTGAGTATGTGTAGCTGGTCAAACTGGGAGAGGGAAACAGGTCCTTCAGCTTCTCTTCTGTTGATGTCTGCAGAGAGCTGGCTAACGCAAATTCACGTGTGAAGTTAGTGTGAGCAACAGCTTTCTACAGGGTCCTCACCGTATTGTCTTCCTCCTCCTCCTCCTCATCTTCTTCCTCCTTCCTTCTTTCTTCTCCTCTTCCTCCTTCTCCTCCTCCTCTTCTTCCTCCACTTCTTCCTTTTCTTTCTCCTCCTCCATCTCCTCTTTTTCCTTTTTTTTTTTGTGTGTGGTGGGCATTCCAGGGAGGATGAGACATACTTTATTACATATCCCAGTCTGACCTTGAACTCAGGGAAGCTTGGATGTGCTACATTCTCCTGCCTTAGCCCCCTCAGTGCTGGGATTTAGTTTTCATAATGAAAATAATGTGTTTTTTTTTTTAAGTGGTATAGATGGAAGATTGAACTAAAACAAGCACACAATCTAATATTAATCAGAAAGTTCTTAAGTGGTATAGATGGAAGATTGAACTAAAACAAGCACACAATCTAATATTAATCAGAAAGTTCTTGCACAAAACATTGCTTAACGTCCATCTGTCATCTTGTTCAGTAGTTGATGCTATCTTCATTTTGATAGCAGATTCATTGATCTACATTCAAATTCACTTACTCCCCACTCTAAGGTCCATGTTCATTTTCTAATATAATAATCTATCCAAGAATTTACAAGTTCTGTTTTAATAAATTTGTGTCATAATTTAAATAAATATACTCTGAAATTTGTACTGCCCAACTTTCCTTGAAAGTTATGGGCTGTGGCTGTGGCTCAGGGGTAGAGTGCTTACCTGTTGTATATGAGACCGTGGGTGCAGCCCGCAGCACCACGTTACGGGGAAAAGTGTGATTTCTAGAGAGATGGCTTAGTGGTTAAGGGCGCCTCCCCCCACAATCCTTTTGCACACACACCCTCACCTTTTTTAAGTGCTGACAACCAAACTTGGGTTCTCTGGGACATCAGTATGTGTCCTTAACCACTGAGCCATCTCTCCAGCAATCACACTTCTCCCCCTCACGTCAAATTTTAACTGTTAGGTTTTTTTAATATTTTTTTCTGTGGTGCTGAGGACGAAACCCAGGCCCTCATAGACACCAGGCAAGCACTCTACCACTTAGCCACAGCCACAATCATGGCATCTAATTTAATTTTTCAAAGAAAGTTGGGGAGTGCAAATCTCAGGGTATATATATTTAAACTATGACACAAGTTAACTCAGGTGGTTAGGTTTGATGATAAGTACCTTTGCCTGCTGAGCATCTCACCATCTCAGAAAGCCAAAACAATTTTTTTTAGTGTTTCTTAAAATTTTGTTTTGTGTATATGCATTTGTGAATGTTGGAGGGGGGATACATGCACATGTGTGGAAGTCAAGACAGCTTGTTGAAATTGGTTCTCTCCTACCATGTAAATCTCACATATTGAACATAGGTCATCAGGCTTGGCAACAGGCACCTTGACCTTCTTGAGCCTCCCTACTGGCCCTAGTTTTAAATATATACCATATTTATTTTGTGTGGATGAGTGTTTTGCCTGCATATATGTATGAGCACCATGTGTGCCTGATGCCCAGGGAGATGAGAAGATATTGGGTACTTTGGAATTGGAGTTATAGATGATTATGAGCTCTCATATGGGTGCTGGGAACCAAACTTGGGTCTTCTGCAAGACAGACAGTGATCTGAACTGCTCGGCCATCTATCCCCAGTTAAAATTTTAACCGGTTAAAATAATCCAAGCTCCAGGTTGGAAAGATGGTTCAGGGATTAATGTACTTTTTCAGAGGACCTGAGTTTTATCCCCAGCACCCATATCTGGTGGCCCACAACCTCTGCAAGTCCAGCTCTTGGAAGCCAGCACTCTACCCTCGATAGGCACGTATACACATGTGTCATTGATACACACAAGCACACATAAATATAAATTTTTTAAAAGAACGCTCAAAGCTGGGTATTGTGCCCACATGTAATCCCAGTATCCACCAGTCTAAGGCAGGGGGTTGCCCTAAGTTTGAGGCCAGCCAAGGCTATAGAATGATACCCTCCTCAAAAAGGGGTAGGGGACTGATAAGTAATCTGACAGCACCCTTGCGTGCCCTGAACAAGGCCCTTGATTAAACCTTCAGAACCATACATAAAACCAAATGATCTGTCCCCTCCCCAAATGTATCTCATAAGCAAGATTATGAACCTCACTGTAACCTCTTCCTGACATATGCCCCATAGGATTCCTTTGGCTTTTCTGGCCTATTTTTCTTACCTGTATCCTACTTCTGTAAACCTCAATGCACCTCTTCAGCTACCTTCTGATCTAGTTCATTGCAGAGTCCTTAGCTAAGGGTAAATGTCCAAGCATTTTGCCTTACTTAACCTTTAAGTCTCTAGAGTGACATCACTTGAAAGCTACCAAAGTTTATATAGAGCTGTGTCGATGGCTAATTTACTAGTATGTTTGGGTTTGGGAATGGTTAATTTGCATAATTACTGAAATGTTCTTCTCACCAGTGTACATTTGAGCGGTAGGTGGTTTGCTTATAAGATGCCCTCTACACTGCTCTTACAATGAAATGTTGCTCATTTATGCTGCTGATCCCTGCTGTGTAACTATTCTTGCAGTCTCTCTGAGTTAGAAACAGACATTAAGATTTTCAAAGAGTCCATTTTGGAGCTCTTGGATGAGGAGGAGATGCTGGAAGAACTCTGTCTCACCAAGTGGAGTGATCCACAGGTCTTGTAAGTATAGCTTTGTGTTGTTTCTTCCTTCAGCTGAGCCTGTGTTTTTCTAAAACAGAGAATTGATGTTTTTCCTCTCTAGACACTGTCTTGTGTCCCAGCTAAGTGAGGCTGCATTGAGTGCACATTGCATTTCAGCTGCTGGGCTAAAGAGAACATTAACATATCACAGCTATCTTCAAGGGATGGATCACTAAGCAATATATGCACAATGAAATAAGTTCCCTAAGGAGCAAAAGGCAGCAGCTGCATGGTAGAGGAAAAGAGGATGGGCCAGGCAGTGTGGACTAGATTCTGCAAGCCTTGTCTATTAAAAATGCACAGCTTAAAAACGTTTTCTGATTTATAAGCCTAGAAATTATTTGCTTTTTAGAAACAGCTGTAATGGAGCATAGTCACTGCTATGTGTCATAAAGCAGGTCCAAGAAACAGGAGTGTGAAACTCACTGTCTGATCTATAATACTAGATGATGCACTTAAAAGTTACTGGAGACTTTAGTCTAATTCTCCAGTAGAGGGCCCAAAGCCTGTAGAGAAATGCACTGTCTTCTGCAGTGGCACGGTTGTTAAGTACTCGTGCTCTTCATTAGCCAGAAAGTAAGGAAAGAGGCTAGTGAGATGGTTCAGCAGGTGAAAGTGCTTGTGCAAGCCTGCCAACCTGAGTTAGGTCCCTGAGGTCCATGTAGAAGTGAAAGGAGGATACCAACTACTGCACAGTTGTCCTCTCACCTCCACATCTGCACCGTGATGCACACTCACACACACCACAAACACTATAATAAATAAATTCTTTAATTGTACAAACATGCCAGAGTAGATATATTAGGGCTCAATGCAATTCACATTTCCCAAATCTGTCCTGCAGGAAAGGTAGTGCCTTCTAGTGCATCACAGCCTCAGACCACAGTCAGAGCCAGGACATCCAGACAGGCTAGAACTAGACAGTATTCACAGGATGTGTTTGGGGAAGCAGATACCAGCAGTTAGTCTTCACTATCCAGAGAGAGGAGAAATCAGCTACTACTGACTTGATTGTATTCAAAGGGAAATGCTCCTTTTAATGTGTCCCACTGTTTTGCCAGCATGCATGTGTGTGCACCACTTATATGTGTGGTACCCACAGACTCCAGAAGAGGGCATCAGACCTTCCAGAACTGGAGTTACATGTGGTCATGAACTACCATGTGGGTCCTAGAAATCAAATCCAGATTATCTGGAAGAGCCTTAATCCTTGACCACTGAGCTGTCTCTCCAGCCCTAGGAAGTACTCTTTTTCAGTTTGTCTGCATTTTCTTGTTCTTCATAGTGGTCCAGGATTTGCACTTCTTACCAATATTGATACTTATATTTTCCAGTCATGTGGCATGTACTTGCATGAGTCTTTTGGATTGGGGCCATGGAGCCCAGTGATGCTAACTGGGCTAAGTGCATCATGCTTAGGATCAGTTGACATAGCTTCTCACCAGTTGGATGCAGTCACAACAGATCAGATGAGGCTAACTTTCTGACTGGCAGCTGAAGTTAGGGATCGGTGTGTGTTGCACATTCTTGGGTTTTAACTGTGGTAACTGTGAATTGAAGTGAGAAGAGCAGCACTGGGATTGACCATGCGGAGGAGATGGAACTGCTGCTTGAAAACTACTACCGGTTAGCTGAGGACCTTTCTAATGAGGCTCGGGAGCTTCGGGTTCTGATCGATGACTCACAGAGCATCATCTTCATCAATCTAGACAGGTGAGGCTACTCTGCAGAAGATGGGGAGGGCTGGGGTTATGTCTAATCCTGTAAAGCACTTTTTAATAAAATGTTGTTTTGGAAGAAGTCACACCATCACATCTGTGAGCCATCTGTGATGGGCTTTATTAGTTACCTAACCCTGGCTGAAGCAGCTGAAGGAATGCTGGGTTATTTGGATTCACAGTTTGAGGGTATACTCTGTTGTGACAAGGAAGTCATGGGGCAGAAACTTGAAGTAGCTGGTCACACGTCCCAGTCAGAAACCAGAGTGAGGTAAACACTGGCGCTCAGCTCACTTTCTCCTCTTATCCTATCCAGGTCCCCATCCAGGAAATGGTGCCACCTATGTTGCTCTCTTTCCACCTCAGTTAAGAGATTTGTTTGTTTGTTTTTGTTTTTTAAAGATTTATTATGTGTACAATGTTCTGTCTGCCTGTATGCTTACATACCAGAAGAGGACACCAAATGTCATTATATGGTTATGAGCCATCATGTGGTTGCTGGGAATTGAACTTAGGACCTTTGGAAGAGCAGGCAGTGCTCTTAACCACTGAGCCGTCTCTCCAGCCCAAAGAGAACTGTTTTTATGGTGATTCCAACCCGTCAAGTTACAGTATTAGCCATCACAGGAGTTTTGAAGGAAGAAAGTGACCCATAGGGCCTTCACTCTGTTTTGCTGGATTTAGGTGTTTCCTGGTCTGAGTTGGTTGTTTTCTCTCCAGCCATCGCAATGTGATGATGAGATTAAATCTCCAACTGACCATGGGAACCTTCTCTCTTTCACTCTTTGGACTAATGGGAGTTGCTTTTGGAATGAATTTGGAATCTTCCCTTGAAGAGGTGAGAATGCAATTCTTTAAATAATTTACACGATTTTATATTTTTACTGTTTAGATGATTAGATTTTTTTTTTTTTTGAAGTATGATATACTGTAGTAACCTTTCTCACTGTTATGAGAAATATCTGTCATAGGCAACATACAGAACAAAAGGTTTACTTCGGCTCACAAAAAGAAGTTACAGTCCACTCTGGTAGGAAAGAAAAGGTAGCAGAGTCCGATGGTCCACAGTCAAGAAGCAGGTGACTCTCCCTCTCTGGAAATACCCTCACAGACCTGACTCCTGCATTACTCTAGTCAGGTTGACAAGATTAGCTGCCACATCAGCATATTCCAATAAAGAGCTACAACATATGATATAAGTCACTTAGAATTCAGGCAGTTACTGTTGACCCCTGTGAATAGCTATGACTGTAGCCTACAGTGCTTTATTGCCTGGAACATGTAAGTATACATGGGATGCTGACTAACACAGCCACCACCCTGTGAGGCAATGATAATGAGAGTTTTATTGTTAGTTCTGTGTATCTGGCCCTGTACCTGGGAATTCACATACATAGGGCTTGTTTGATATAGTCATCACATCTCTATGACATAACCGTATCTCTCCTATTTTGTAGATGAGAAAATAGAGGCTCAGAAGAGTTAAGTAAGTTGCAGATCTATAAAACAAGAGGATTTCAACACAAAGATAAATGCTTTCCATTCAGCCCTCGTACCTTTCCATATTAACAGAGCACTGGACACCAGGGTTCCTAATTCCATGATAGCCTGGCATTTGCAGGGGAAGTCTTACAAGGTTTCTAGCAATGATTGAATTTGCAATTGACACTTCGCTCTTTCACCCTATGTCCTATGTAGTTCATTGTTTCCATGACTGTCACTGTAAGCTAACCAATATCATCTCTTAGACTACCACACATTTGTAAAAAGTGTCTTTAAAAGACTCATTGTCTCAAACTTCTGCGTAAAGGTTTTCCAGTGCTTCTGAGCAGCCTCAGAATGAATCCAGACCTCCCAATCTGTAGATATCTATTCTCTTCCCCTGCCTTCGCCTTAGCTGTGTCCTGGTCACTTCTCAGAAATGCTGGCTCCACAGAGCTCCCCTCACCTCCCAGCTTTTTAGACTGCCTAGTTCACTCCTATTTAGACTGCCTAGTTCACTCCTATTTACCTCTCGGTCTTAACTTTTGTTAAGAGTCACACTTGTGTCCCTATGCTGGTAGAATCCTAAAAATGGGAAATACAGAATTTATCATAAATATAAATGTTTTGAGGACCAGTCACTACGTTGACAGTAGAAAATCCCATAGCTGGTTTGTTGTGGTCTCGGTCAAGATGTGTGTACACTAAAAGTACTGTATGAATTGGACTAATATATTAGGTGATGTGAAATATGTTTCGTCTTTAGACTCCAAAAGAAAATGACATTGTTATGTCGCATGCCCCCACCAAGAGAAAACGTATATAGTTAATCTCTATTCCTGCCTTTAAAGTTAGTAGGCAAGTTTGTAAAACAGAGTAATTAATGTAAGAATGGTGCTTCCTTTCTTATTTTCCCAATCAATATTGTAAATCCGTAAACTGAAACATGTCTTGGTTTCAAGGAGTTGAATTGGGATAACCAGTAAGTTAGTTATCCTATTAACTAACCTGTAAGCTAACTCTGTTTTAAGCTTAACTCTAATATTCTTTCTGAAGGCCTGTTCCCCCCACCCTCCCAAAAAGAAAAGTGGATTTTATTTTGTTTAACTTCCTTTCTGATCCAGGTATGAGGGTGCACACCTGTAGACTCATCTTCAGTAGGGTAGAGCAGTGGGCTGTCCAGAGCCCAGGAATTTAGAGCCAGCCTAGGTAGCAAAGCCTTGGCTTTGCAACATTTTCTGATAGTTGCATTATGCACAGTCCTTGGTACAGAGGAACCCAGCTATGAAGAGACTGAGGAGTGACTCTGCCCTGGTCCTGGTCTTTGGGCCTTGCTGTAGGCCTAGTTCCTAGCTGCTTTCTGTGGATAAGCTCTTGTGATGATGGGAAGGCTCCTTTTAACTCTGGAGGAGAGTTTGTTTATGAGGAGCCTAACCTTTTGTGATTGGAATAAACTCTTTTTTTTTTTTTTTTTTCTTTCAGGACCATCGTGTGTTTTGGCTGGTTACAGGAATTATGTTTATGGGAAGTGGCCTCATCTGGAGGAGGTTGCTTTCATTCCTTGGAAGACAGCTGGAAACTCCTTTGCCCCCTGTGGTATGGACTGGGGTCTCACAGCAGCACTGCTGGGTTCTGTGCAGTCCTGGGCCTAGTATCAGGCAGCTTAGGTTCCAGGCTTTGTCACAGACGTTATAACCCTGAGCAAGTTCTCCTTGCTTTCCCTTGTGTTAACCCAGTCAGCACTGTGTGCTTCGTAGGGCTTGGAAAGTTAAGTGAGGTGAGATGCTTAGCAGTGTCCAACACAGCAAGTGAGTTGGAAATGACTTGCTTTGTGTAGAACACTGGCAACTTTGTGTCAGAACACTGACAGATGCTCGTCACTCTGCAGGGCTTTCCCATAGCCATGCTGAAACGCAGCAGCGCTCTAATACTAACTTGCTCCATGAGCATGTGGGAACCGCACCTCCTTTCCTCCCTTGTACGTAGAGTCAGGACCACTGGGGCCAGTGCAAGGGCACTGACCTGCTTAGTCCTCCCTTATCATCTGCTTAGTGGCTTCCAAGAAAAACACGAACTGAAACCCGTTTCCTACTCTATTTAGATGGCCTCCTTACCTAAAAAGACCCTTCTGGCAGATAGAAGGATGGAAGTGAAAAACAGCCTCAGGCCAGAAGGACTTGGAGCAAGCAGGACTGTCCTGGCAAGCCGCTAACAGCAGCCTGGCAGACAAAGAGTTTTATACATCTGACACTGTTACTACTTTCTGGGGAAAAAGACAACTGTGTTTAAGTCTAACTGAAAATACTGTGGCATTCACAATACTAAAACTTGATGGCATCTTTGGAATTCCCTGACACAAAGTGCTTTCTTTGTAAAAGGCCAAAATCTGTGGCCAAGCAACCTTGAATACTGTTTTTATGGGTTTTTTAAAGTATGGATTGATTTATTGTGAGATACACTTATCTAGATTCAGTGCCATTATACATATCAAGAAGAGTCCAGCTCTGTGCTGAAGGAGCCGAGGAACCCGGCAGAGCCCATTGTTCCTGCGCTTATGGCCGCAGTCCCTCACACAGGGAGTCACGTGCCTATCATCTTCTGACTCAGGGTAGAAAGCTGGCAGATCTGTCATCCTTGCAGCAAACCCTGGAATGTCAGTCCTTGATAGAACTTTATTTTCAGGTATTTGCTCTCTTTTTATTTATTAGATAAAAGAAAGTTTAATTTAATGTCAGCATATCTGGATTCCAGTTACTCAAGATTGTTACTATTTTTCATTGATTGGTTATAAATAGAACCCTGGGAAGTAAAGTTGAAAGAAAGTATTTATTCTCTTACAATTTTATAGCTAAAATTTTTCTATTTTTCTTTAATTGGTTATAAATAGAACCTTGGGAAGCTGGAAGTGTTTACTCTCAATTTTATAGCTGTTTTGATCATTGCCTGATTTAAGAGATTGTCATGCTACCCCCCCCCCCAAAAAAAATGTATACAGCCAACTGATTTGTTTGCCTACCTTTCAAACTTAGCAGAGGGGCTTATCAAACTAGAGGATAGCTGATGTAAGAATTGTGGAAGCGTGTTCTCCCCAATCGGAAGCTCTTTTTTAAAACTCTTGTTTAAAAAAATGTTATAGCAGACGTGGTTGGTCCATCACCTGGACTCCAGTCCTTGAAGGCTGCAGCAGGAAGATTATGGAGAGTTTGAGGCCAGCCTGGGCTACAGAGTAAGTTCTAGGCCAGTGGAGGTGATAGAGTGAGTTCCAGGCCCGCCTGGATGATGTAAAGTTTCTCAAACGCCAAATGAAATGGGGCTGGGAGTGCTGCTCCCTGGTCGAGTGCTTCCCACATGGATCAACCCTCTAGCAGTACATAGTGAATAGCCACATTGCTGATACCTGTCAGTCTGAGAGCTGTCATCCTGATACCTGTGCAGCCTGCCTTTGTGTATTTTCTGGAGGTTTCATTCAGTTGTATGCTAGAACATTAAAAAATGTGCTTCCCAAAGTAATACCCTTCTTAAGATTGTAGTAAGGCTAGAGCAACTCTCAGCCTGCAGAGTAGGAATAATGAAGAAGTACACCCACCCCAGAGGACGGGCGCTGATTGCCCTAATAGTATCCCACAAGAATGTCAGGTCTATTTACTGGGTAATTTAGTGACAGGAATAAAAAAATGTTACTCCAGTAGAAAACAGAAAGTTACAAGTAAGCTCCCCTCCTGTGTGGGGCTGTGAGAAGCTGGTCCAGAGCAGCTGAGCTGGCCTGGTGTTCCAACTGAGAGTGGCCCCTTTGCATCTCTGGGTGAGATGTTGGAATGTGACTTTATGGAAACTGTAGCAGCTGAATTCTTTGATAGCGTCCAAGATCATCTTTGATGATGCCTGGATTTCACAGCACACCAAAGAGCATTCTGCTGCTGTGGTCAGTTAAGCTATGATGTCTTAGATTTTGCTGAACTGAGATACATGTAGAATTGGAGTCCATTTGACCACAGGTCAGACAGGATTGAATCTTATTTTCCCATGTTCTGTTAGTTTATGAGCTTGAATAAAGTAATTGTCTTGATTAGTTATGTCCCTCATAGCAGAGGGACAAAATGTAACTACTCAGATAAAAGAACAGAACTGGTAATTTGTAAAATTTTTAAAGGTCGTAAGATCAATAAGGATTTTCAAGTGAAACTGCTACTTAAAGGAAATGTTGTAATTGTTGTAAATGCTACTTAAAGGAAATGTTGTACAAAATGTAAAAAACACTTAGTTTTATGAATGAACAAGCAGTCACATCCCACTTTGAGCATGACCAAGGATGTGTGATACTTTTGACAGTCTGCTCTTATGTTCAGAGCCTCTGAGCCAGTGTGGACCAAGCAGAGGTCATCCTATGAAATGATCCCTCCTCGCTTTGTCCTTAACAACAGACTGGAGTATGCACTAAACAGCTCCCACTGACAGGCCATGTGGCAGGTCCAGGAGCTGTGCAAAACTTTATTTCTTGGAATGACAGCAGTGAAGCAACATTTGAACTTTAGTGTGATAACTTCAGTAATGTCCAGAGAGGTGATCTAATGGAGGGATTGGAATGGGGTCTAGAGCCCTGAGCTCTACTCCAAAACTATCATCCTAACTTCATTGTCTGAGGATAAGACATAAAGTTATTCCCATCTTGAAGCCTTGAAAATGTACAGAGAAATACGGAGAAGCAATATGTGAATGTCTGTTGGAGTCTTGAGGTAAAGATCACCAGGTTAAACAGTCGCACGGGGTTGCCGCTTTAGTTTGCTCCATCTGTGTTACTAAGCATTGTAGGGCTGTGTAGGGCTGCTTCTCGAACCGTTAGTCCTTGTTGGAAGACTGTAAGCCACCTGTGGTGGGTAGTATTCAGACTGTCATATGCTAATTTTTTATATATCGGGTTTTTCCATATTCTTCACATTGTCCTTCAAAAATAGGTGTAGCATTTACTTTCTCACAGAGGAGTCAATATTTTAAGTATCCTTTCAACTTGAAGATGGGTTTGATATCTATAAGCTTTCAGCTTTCTTTAACTGGTGCCTGCTACATGATATGTTCAGAGATCGAGCTAAAGATAAATTCTGTGGCCACATTTAGACGGACTCTTGTCAATTATTGGAGCAAAAGCACTGGCACTTTGGGGCTAGCGTATCAGCCCGGGGTGTGAGGAGGCCCTTCCTGCTGAGCGCTTACATTTGCTGATTTGCTAGCATTGTGCCAAAACCCTTTTGCTCGCAGTGATCTTTTGATAAGTTGAACTGCCAGTTCCTACCACAAGAAAAGCAAATGTCCTTGTGTGCTTCTTCCTGTGCCTTAGGGGGCACAGTACACACAGCAGCTAGTCTGTGGGTGAGCGTTTACGTCCTGTCCTCCTTTCTCCCCTGTGAGTCTTCTCAGTGGAGTTTCTTCTCCTTGGTCTCCCTCATTCTCTCTGCAGAGAGATCTCTCTCTGAGTGGAGCTTGTCACCCATTTCCTTTTGTTTTTTGATAGCATTTCCCAGGCTCAGAAGGAACAGTATCTGCCTCAGCTGACACAGAACCAGCCAGTTACTGTTTGCAGGTAAAAGTGCTGGCATATTTCTCCTGAAGCCACACTGTGGGGCTGGCACACAGACGCCACCCTAAAGAATAGACCAAGAACAAGTGAAGCCACTTCCCCCTGGGTTCTTTGCTGGTCCCTTCTAGTCACCCTGGGCTCAGGCCACACCACTCCTTTTTGCACTCTGTTGATGGAGCTGGCAGCCTACCACCACAACACTCTGTAAGACTTAAAACCACAGTAGTGAGGTTCATCTTGTGTTGGAACAGCCAGCGCCACAGGCTTGATTGAGGCATGAGATAGCTCAACAAAATTTAGTTTCTGTAGTTGCTCTTCACTGTATAAAATGTGAGAACAGAAATCCTCACTGAGGAAGGACCAGTGTGTGGGGGATGCCCTTCCCCCATGCCTTTCTCTATTCCTTGCACATTGCTTTCATTGTACTCTGTGCCACCAATTTGACAAAATATCCAAAAGAAACAGCTCAAAAAGAGGGAAATGTTTATTTTGGCTCACAGTTTCAGCCATATAAGCTCCAGGGTGCATGTAAGCTCCTTGTTGCTTCGGGGCTGGGGAAGAAGCAGTACATCATGGCAGAGGAATGCGGCTCATTTCAGCACTGGGAAGCAGAGAGGCAGAGAAGGACGTGGGGTCCTGGTACACCCCAATGGCATAACTTCTTCCAACAAGGTCCCACTCCAAAGTTTCCACCCTCTTTTAGCTGGGGACCAAGCCTTCAACATAGGAGATTTGGGGCACATTTAAGATCCAAATAAGACTAACCACCATTAGCAAGGATTTTTACAGGAGCAATTGTCTAGAGTCGTAAGAGCTAACTACACCCTTTCTAGGTAGGAGAGAGAGGCATTCCAGAAGAAGAAGAGATGAGTTATTAAAGTCCCAAGCACAGGCAGCAGGCTCAAAAGAGCTTTAGAGAGCACATGACCTCAAAGTGCCTACTGCTCCCCATCGTCCCCATAGACACATAGACACATAGCTGACTTTATCTCCAGGTAGTCGGGCTGTCAGAATGTCTATGCCAGGAGTCCCACTTCTGTCAGGCTTCACCGTGGAAACACTGGAGGACTGTTTTGTCCAGCCTGGAACTGACTTGGCCCGAGAGAGAGGGGCTGAATAAAAGAGTGGAGTGACATCTTCAGTCTGAGCTGAGGCTGTAGACATGAAGTGCCCCAGAGAGCCGGCCTCCCCAAGAACTCCTTCCAGCAGCGACAACCACTTGGTTCTGTGGAGGACACAATACAGGCAGCACTTATGACATTTCCGCTCTAAAGCAGAAATCATACCGTGCTTTGAATGCATAGGAAAGCAATGCTGGCCAAACCCCAAAGCCCCGACTTGTGCTTCTTTCTCTTTAATTAGACCCCACTTTTTCAGATCTGTAAGTTCCAAACAACCCCAGCCCCTCCCTCTTGTACATAACAAGGGGGAAATCTGTAAGTGTGTGCTTATTGAAGAACCTTTTTTTGAGAGTGTAGAGCAGGAATCTGCAGTGACAGGGCTCCCTTCAGGCAGCAGTGCTGCTGCCTAAGATATTCTCAGGCCCACCTTCAGAGTTACCTTCAAAACCTGCTGCAGGTTGTGAAATACTTTAGCAGTGGCAACATCTTCACAGTTAGCAGTTAAATTGGATTTTTGGTAATTGCTGAAAGTAATTTTAGATCATTGCTGGTAAGTGAAATATGGCTGATCATGCTGGCTGTTAGCACTTTAGGCAGCAGGCTATGACATTTATCTTGGTTTCATTTTAACACTAACAACTCCGAAATGGATGATAGTAGTGGCATTGTATTGAGGCCTTACTGTTTGACAGATTCCAGGTGGAGTCCTTACTGGCACTTAATACTGCAGTGTCAACGAAAGAGAAAGTTTATCTTTTCAGTTAACAAAATGATAATTTCTTCCTCTCTTCTCTTATTTATGTAACTAATTTACTAAATGTGCTTTTACTTGGGCTACATTCTAAGTCTCCTTTCCATTTCCTCATCAAACCATACTCCTCCCTAGAGTTAACCCTTCCTGGCTGCTTGCCATCTCCCTAGTCTAACCATCTTAGTGTTGTCTCAAGGCCCATAGGTTCTACAAGACCTCCTGGACATGGCCAGCAAAGAGAGCACTGTCCTTAGTCCTGTGTCATTGTGCACTGATGTCAAAGGTCTCAGCTACATTTATTCCACCTAAGTTGTAAATGGTACTGTAGGCCGTGTCCCACCGTCCCATCTACTCGCAGATGCCCAGTGATCACCCGCTGACATGGGCAGGCTTGAGGAAGACGCACAGTGACAGTGGCAGTGTTGCTTAGGTAAGTCTCCAGGCTGCAGGTTCCACAAGGTTCATGTGTCCCAGGAAGGAAGCGTGTCTGAGCATCCTAACGCAGGTCTCAGAGGAAGGCCGCCCTGATGTTGTATACTCACTGAGCTGTAATGCCCTGAGTTGGACGTGAGTTGGGAAAGTGAGGGATGTTAACGGCGACACAGGTGAGCTAGTTAGAAAGGTTAACTTGCAGACTTGCACAGCCTGGAATCAACTGTACAGTACTTTCAGCTTGCCTTTATCACCACTGCCCTTGGTCAGTGTCTTGATATTGTCTAATTTTTTGAAAATGCACAAAATTCTAAGTAAAAGCCAAGTGTATCCTTTGGAGAATCCTTTCGTAAGCTTAATAACTGCTCTTTCTTAACCCTAAACTCGTATCAGGCTCATTGGTGTTGGTGAGAACTGTTGACCACCAGAGGGCGGTTTCACTGACTCTTCCCAGCAGGACCTATGTCCTCAGCTCCCCCCCCCCCAAGCCTTACCAGATTGCTGTCTTTACATACCTAAGGTCCCACCCTTGAGATTCCTGCTCGCTCTGCTCCTAACATTTAGTCCTGTGCCCATCACAGACCTACCCTCCCTGTGTTTTTCAAGAGCTGTGACCATCCTGTCTGTGTTTTATAGCCTAGGACAGTTGTACAATACCAAATCCTAAAGTAAATGAATGGTTTAGTGGCTTAGTTTGATTTCCTTTGTTTTGAGGGAGGGTCTCACTCTAACCCAGGCTAACTTGGAACTCTTGAGTCCCAGGCTGGCCCCAAACTCCTACCTCAGAGTCCCATGTGCTATGATTACAGGCACGAGCTACCACACCTAACTCTTTAGTAGTATATATTAAGGGAAATTTCTTAAATCTGTATTTATTAAAATGTAATATTAAATGTGTGCGCTTTAGCAGTCCCACTGCTATGTTTCTCACCTAAAAGGACATTTGCACAATCATGTAAAAATCCAGGTGCAAGAATGCTCACTACAGCATTGTCTGTAATAGTTTTAAAAAATGGAAATAACATAAAGATGAGAATGTAATTGAATGGAATTATGGAATGGCCAGAAAATAAAGTATTGTGTAACTATTGGAAAGTGTTAAGTGGTTCTGTGTCCTTATGTGAAAGGAGGTGAAGGTAAACAAAAGTGCACCATGCTGTGTATGTGTGTGTCTAGACCAGCAGTTCTCAACCTGTGGGTTGTGACCCCTTTGGGGATTGAATGATCCTTTCTCAAGGGTCGCCTAACACCATCAGAAAAATACAGATATTTACATTACAATTCATGACAGTAGCAAACTAAAGTTACGATGTAGCAACAAAAATCATCTTATGGTTGAAAACGTGAGGAACTGTGTTAAAGGGCTGCAGCATTTGAAAGGTTGAGAACCACTGCTATAGACTCATTGAAAGACTTGGCAGGGCAGCCAGGATGCCACTCATCAGGCTGCTGCCCAGCCGGAGACAGCCGGAGTTCAGTCTCTAGGACCCAAATGGTGGGAAGATAGAACCAAAGTTCTCTGGCCACCCGAAGAGTACTGCGGCACATGAACGCACATGTAACACACACAAAACAGATAAACGTTGAAAACCGCCAGTCTGGACAATGTCATGGCAAATGATGAGCAGACATGACCTAAAGGGCCACATGAGACCTTAAGCTAGGTGAGAAGTCAGTCTCAGAAGCTGCAGTCGCGGTGTGTTGACAGCCATAGACAGGTCAAGAACGAGTGAGCACGTGCAGAGTGCCAGGCTAGGTCCCTAGCACCGCAAAACCAACACCCTTGGGTTGTGGACCCAGAAATTCGAAATTCATAACAGTTTCATGTCAGGAAATACTCTTTGGTTTTTTGTTTGTTTGTTTTTGTCTTATTTCAACTATTTAGAAAGTCAAATATAACTGGCCCACAGGCTGTCTTCTGCTAAGCCCTGGTGAAGAGTTGAGGGGCGAGCACTTAGAAAGTATTGGAGGTACATTCATGTGTTCCTTTCTTTTCTACAATTTAAGAAGAGATTGTCAGACCTGGTGTCAAAGCGCCGGTCCTGTACTCACCCTTTCCTTGGAGCGCACAGAGGCCAGCGAGCTCCCAAACCTTGAACTGGCCTATAAAACATACACACCATGGTTGCTCAGCAGCTGAAGTAAGTGCAAGGGGCTCGGGGGCAGGGGGGCAGGTCAGACCTTTGCGGGTACTTACCTCGGGAGAAATTAGTACGTGCTGTGCCTGGAAAGAAAGCAGTGGGAGACTGTTAATGTGATCACTGATGCAGAGCTCTGAGCCAGTCTCGCAGCTTCATGCTCACATTTCAGCATTCCCAGAGTCTTACAAGTGTGCCCTTCAACTCTAGAAATCCTATTTACAGGAGCTTAGATTCTAAAACGGAACCCATTATATGAAATCATTTACACGGAATGTTTGCCCCGTGGCCTAGAATAGAATCAGCCAATGTGACCAGTGAGCACCTCTTCAGGAAGGTCAGTTAAATGGGCTTATCCCAAGATAAAAGAGTTGGCAGATAATAGAAGCCCACCCCATCTCAGCAGGACCTCATGTAATCCAGGCTGGCCACAAACTCACTGTATAGCCAAGGCTGTCCTTGAATTACTGATCCCCCTGCCTCTATGTCTGGGGTGCTAGGATGACAGCTGTTACCACCATATCCAGACTCCTCTAGAAAACAATACTACTTTTTTTTTTTCCATAAAGTGCTATCGGGTTTTTGTTTTCATTTTTTAAATATTTTATTATTTGTGTTGTCTGTGCATACACATGTGCCAAGACATGTGGAAGTCAGAGGGCAACTTCTGGGAGTGGGTTCTCTCCCATGTGGGTCCTAGGCGCTCAGGATTGGCAGCAGGCACCTTTACACACTGAGCCCCCTCATGGGCCCAACCATGTTCTCATGTTCTCCTTGTCCAGAATGCCTGTGTCCAGAAGTTTGGATTTGGGATCTTTCTGATTGTGAAGTATCTACAGATACATAGTGAGATCGCCAAGGGATGGGCCTGACACTGAACAGAAGATATTATCAGGCCCGTAGCCTGACAGTTCTATACGGTATGCTAACGATTTTGTACATGAGACCTATCTCCCACTTTAGAATTTCCACTTGCAACATCATGTCAGATCTCAAGTCTGCTTCTGCAGCATCCCAGATTCTATGCTGGGGATGCTCAACTTGCCTACTGTTTTATTAAAATCAGGAGTTTCAGGCCAGCCTGGACTCTACCTTAAAAAAATAAAATCAAGTTAAAAATTGTGAACGAAATCAGGCATAATGTGATCACATGGTTTAACCAGTTTTAGAGACAGGTCTTAGCTCTGGTCCCTGGCTGCCATTCGCAGTGTGACCTGAACGAAAGCCCTCTGTCTTCAGGGTTTTGTCATTAGCATCAAGTGGCTTCATAGCCTTGATGGGGCTTCATCTGCTCACAGCGCCTATTGTGTGCACACTAAATAGGACATGGCACTGCTAGCCTGTAACACCTGCACTCGCAAAGGAGAGGCAGGAGGACTGTGACGAGTTCCGGGCCAGAATGCCCTTCATAGCAAGACCCTGCCTCCACCCCCAAGCCCACAGTAGCAACATTTCTAGAATACGCTCTGGCCAACAGGGGAAGCTCTGGAGAGTAGATGTCTTAAGTGGGCTAGTTTTAATGCTCACCTTTGTGTTTCTATATTGCCTACATTTTCCACACTAAACTCATTCATTTTGCAGTTTAAAAAATAATCTTTGTTTGTTTTTGAGACAGGGTTTCACTTTGTAGCCCTGACCGAGAACCCACTACAATAGACCAGGCTGGCCTCAAACTCACAGAGACCCAAATGTCTCTGCATCCTGGGTGCTGGGATCAAAGGCATCAAAGGCACCACACCTTTTTACATTTAAGAAAAATAATAATACTAATTAATAATAACAATAGCGGCCAAGCTAAATGCTTAACAACACATGGAAACCCATTAGAGAAAGGAGTAACACAAAGCAATAAATGAGAAACAGGCTGCAGGTGTTCGTGGGACTCCAGTGTGGCCAGAACCTGCTTTTAGCCATCTGCCCTGGGCACCTGGTCAGGCCATGGCCAGCTGTGAACAAGGATCAAGTCTACCTGGCTCCACCCTCAGAGGCCAGCAGCACAGCTGGAAGCACATAGGCAGCACGCTCCTGGCCGATGACTAAGCACAGGACCTCCCCCTTACCTTCTCCTCTGGGCATGGAGACAACCAGGACTTGCATTTGCCTGTCATGTCACCCAGGGCGGTATCCTTGCCGTTATAAATGTACACTCGCCCGTCTTCTCCCCCAAGCAGTCCGGAAGTGACGTCTGTTATCCTCAGCGGGGCGGCCATGATGATTTCATCTGTTAACGAAAAAGCAGAAGGAGGCATTAGACCCTATCAGCCCTGCTTCCTCCACCTCTGGATCCTGACCCTACCTCCCACAAGTAATCAGCATGGCTGCCCCCAGAGGCAAGTAAAGGCCTCTGTTTCCCACTGTCACCAATCGGTAGTGAACCTGGTGACTCCCTCACTTCCGGAAGTGCAGCTAGCTCTTGTGCATCTAAGTTTGGGTCTATCAGAAGCCCTGTGTAGTGCCAGCACTTGGGAGATGAATGCAGTAGGATCAGTAGTTGAGAACCAGCCGTGGCTGCATGAGGAGTTGAACGCAAACCTGAACTATGTGAGACTTCGTATTTAAAAAAAAAAAAGTCCCTTGGGCCACTGCACTGTCCATCAGAGGGCAGAACCTTGCCCATCTAACTGGGACACATTGATGATAAAGAGAGTTAACATTAGCTAAAGTCACTAATCCCAACCATACCTAAGCCATCGTCATCCAGGTCGGTCAGGTGTAGAACGCTACCAAACCGAGAAAAGCGCCGGTCTCCGCTGAAGGTGCTGAGCAGGGTGGGCTGTGTATTCTCAGGGTCTAGCTTGTACATCCGAGTGGCTCCTCCCTGGTGCAGGGTCATGGTTAGGAATGCCATTTTAGACACGTCATCTGAAACAAGCCACAGGGCCTCCTGGCATCATAAGAGTGAAGGATCCCACCCGTGTCCCACGTGTGCCTCAGGCATGTGTCCTTCAAGTGCAGCGTGTTCTCACACTATCTTGTCCCCAGTGACCACGCAGCCAAGCCCTTGCCAGAAACACACTTACAAGTCTCTTCCCCTCTTACAGCAGGCAGACATTCTGAAAAATAGGGTGGCACTAAGCAGGGAGGGTCTCGGGGCACACTGGCTGCTCTAGTTTGGGACTCTCCCTGAAGTGCCCATGGCATCAGGAAATTAGCCCAGAATTTCCCCAGCTCTGGTTTCTGTGCCTAAGGCTCAGCCCCTCCTTCAGGACAATGTCAAATGGCACAGAAGTGTTTCCCTCAAAGGATAGCTAGCTGGTAGAATGAGAAAAAATGTAATATATATATATATGAACAATTATATTTTTGAAGAACATTTGACATAGAAACATGCTTACTTTTTCAGTTAAGAATGCAAACTATATGAGGAACTTGCTGGTAGATCTTCTACCCCACCCCTCCACACTTCAAGCGGCCAGCATTATTAAAGGACTTGACTACCCCAAAACTAAAATTCCAAAATAATAATAATAAATAATGTAAATGTTTAAAAATGTAAGTTAAGCTTTTTGAATATTTATTCTGTATATGTGTGTCTTGGATGCACAGCCGCCAGAAGGTGGCATTGGAGGCCTTGGAGTTACAGGCAACTGTGAGCCAATGATACGGGAGTTAGAAGAGCAGCCAGGGCTCTTAACTGCTGAGTCATCATCCATCAATCCCATAATTTGGGGGTGTTTGTTTGCCGAGAGTCTCATGTAGCCCAGGATACTCTTAGACTCATTATATAGCAGAGTCTGGCCTTGACCTGCCAATCCTCCTGCCTCTGCTCGGCCTATAGGAGTGGGAACCAGCAGAATCAATCCCAAGCCTCTGGTGAGCCTGGGCTAAATAGGGTCTCAGTAACAAAACCAGAAACAAAACAGAACATCTCTTCTCTAGCTCTGGGGTCAGTAGCAGGGGAGCTTTAAACTCACGGTCCTGCATCATTGTCAACAACTTCTGAAATAGATACCATAGCTC